GTTTGGGGTGAGAAAACATGTAGGAATGGAATTCCAGAGCTGCCAGGGGACACGTCCAAGAGAGAATCAGCAGTTCATGAAGATTCAAGGGCTATAGCTGCATGCCCTTAATTTTGTTAGCAGAAGTAGTTTTGAAAACCTTTCAATCTTCTCAATTCCTCCTCCCCCTACCCACCCGCCTGTCACCTCCCTGCAGCTAGGAGCAGCAAGTCTGAATAGAGACTTATCCTATAGGATTGCTTAACAAAATGTATATCTTTTGTAATCAAATTACAAATGTAATTAATTCTGTTGAATTACTTTAATTGGAATGGAGATAGGCATGTGGGGAAAATACCTGCAGCTAATGAACCTAATTTTTTTTTTAGCATCTGGGTTTTGAAGTAATCTTTATACTTTGCTCTCTAGGGCCAAGTCTACACTGGGGAAGAGGGCATTGTAGAACTACGGTACGCAACTCCAGCTACGTGAATAGTATAGCTAGAATTGACGTACCTTCGTTTGACTTACTGCGACATTCCTATTGTGGGGGGTTGACTGGAGAAACTCTCCTGGTGACTCCCCCTACTCTTCTTGCTCCAGTGGAGTATCGAAGTTGACGAAAGCACAATCGGCAGTTGATTTAGTAGGTCGACCCCAGGGAAATTTATCCTTGCAGTGTAAGTGCAGACAAGGCCTAGATTGAAACTAATTTGTGTACAGTAATTCCTCATTTAACACTATAGATGTGTTTCTGAAAATGTTCGTGCTAAGCAAAAACGTGCTATGCAGGGTCAATTTTCCTATTAAAAATAATGGAAAAGGTGGGGGTTGCGTTTCAGGCGATGGTGGCAAAGTCAATTTTTTGTTGGTGCTGGGTCGTCAATGTCAACATTAGATATCTAGCAACACAAGTCGCCACGGTTTGTTAAAATACAAAGATAAACACATGAGTGAGCAGAGAAGCGCTGTGACCACGTGTATTCATCCGCTTATGAGTATTACCACTGTTTTCACCAACTTATACCGCTGCGTGAAGTAGTCGGCCACTTGATTATTTTCATGTTGTTTTGGGGATGGTCGTGTTATTCAAAAAACGTTCCCTAAAAAAAATCATGCTATTGCGAAAACATGTTAAGCAGGCACGTGTTAAACGAGTAATTACTGTATAGTTGATTCCTCATCTTGACTATAACAGAGTTTAAAGAGAAACTAGATAATTTCATGGAGGTTAGGTCCATAAAAGGCTTTTAGCCAGGGGATAGGAATGGTGTCCCTGGCCTCTGTTTGTCAGAGGCTGGAGAAGGATGGCAGGAGACAAATCGCTTGATCATTGTCTTCGGTCCACCCTCTCTGGGGCACCTGGTGCTGGCCACTGTCGGCCAGGCTACTGGGCTTGATGGACCTTTGGTCTGACCCAGTACGGCCGTTCTTATGTTCTTATCTCCCAGACTGTAGCTTTAATGTCTTTTAGCAGCAACCAAAACAGAAAAAGACTCTGTTGCCATCACATGTTGCTCTGTAGCTCTTCCTTACCTGAGTTTGGAGGTGTGACACAGAGGTCTCATGGCAGGGCATTCGTGTGTTCCTCCCTTGCTGCTGAGTCCTCAAACTCAAATGCCATTTGCAGTCCTATTTGCCCAAGTTCCTTCTCTACATACCTTGTATCTCATGTGTTTTCATCAGCTGGGTCTCTCCCCTTTCCACCTTACTGATTCCTTTGTTCTAGTTTCAAGAGAACTCCTTAGCTTGTAGTAGGTCTGGCTGGGGTCACAAAGCCTGTCAGTGTGTTTGCTTTGGCTTCTTACATAGATGTCACTGCACCTTGTCTTGGATGAAGTTTTACCTAATTGAAAGAAAAGGAATATATGTCCAGTTGGTGCAAACTGTAGTAGAAGACTCCTGGCCCCTGCTTCTGTAGTTTGCCAGCATAGCCTTTAACTCTGTTTTGCAATGTCTGGGTGTCTCTATTTCCCTTCTGTAAACTAGCTGAATGAATAATGCTGCATGGGTAAGTTTACCCGTTTCTCATTTGGGAAACATGGAGGTTGGTTTACTCCCATTTTTATACCCTCTACGCCACTGGCCACTCCCACCTCTTTAATTTTGTTCTTTCTTCTGACTCTATGTATTGGATGGGGAGTGGAATTAAAATGTAAAATGCAGAGTGCTTGAGCACTTGGATGTTACCCTGATAGGGGGCACATAAGTAATTAGATAGGGAAGCTGGAGTTTAAACTTAAATCATTGTACTCTTAAATGGATTTTTGCCATAACCCCGAAATCTACATTTTTTGTGGATTTGAGCCGGTTTTCTCCTACTGCTGCCTTTGTCACTCCTGTTCCTTGCTTTGTCTTCCTGCTTCTGTTGATCAGAGGAGAAGCTATAAGTGCTAAGTCCTTTGTAGGCTGAGTCCAAGGAGAGTAGAAAGAAACGTCACTAAGGGTATTTCTAGACTATATCCCTTTTTCAGTAAAGGGATGTAAATTAGGCACATCAATATTGCAAATGAAGCCAGGATTTGAATTTCCCACGCTTCATTTGCATAATGGCAGCTGCCGTTTTTTTTTTAAACGGGGCACGGCAGTCTAGACACCGCTCTTTTGAAAATAAAACCCTTTTTTGAAAGATCCTCAAAAATGAGGTTCACGGGATCTTTCGAAAAAGGGTTTTATTTTCCTGTCTAGACTGCCATTTGTTTTAAAAAGCCCCGTTTCGAAAAAAAGCGGTGGCCGCCATTATGCAAATGAAGCGCAGGATATCTAAATCCCGGCTTCATTTGCAATATTGACGTGCCTAATTTACATCCCTTTACCGAAAAAGGGATGTAGTTTAGACAGATTAGATAGATAGATAGATAGATCCGTACCCTAATAGAGCTATGTGACGGCGCGTTGGAGGTCCCCCGTCTCCTGCACCCCGAAATGGCACAAACAGACTCCACCAGCCAGTGGAATTGAGGGTGGTTTATTGCTCCTCCAGGAAACAGCATAGCACAGATGTAATCTGGTTACAGGAACTGGGGCTAAGAGGCCTCAGTGCTCCCCTTGAGATAGGGGAGTCCCAGCTCCCCTCCCCAGCTCCTTCTCCCCTGCTTTCCAGACAGGAACTCACTAACTCTCTTCCAGCCCTGCCCCCCAGCCAGGGCAGCATTCCACCTTCCTTTGTTCCTCTCCATGGGGGGTGTCTGGCCACTGGTTTGCATAGTGACTCATCCTGTTTTGCTGGGTCGTGGTACCCACGGCAGCCAGTGGGGGGTACCCCAGAGCCAGCAGCAGAGAAACCCAGCGCCAGCCAGTGGGGGTTACCCTAGAGCCAGCAGCATAGAAACCAGCCAGGTACCCCCACTACGTCACAAGCTAATGTCACATAACTGGACTCATGCAATTCAGGTCTTTAATACCACTTTATTCTATGTGGTATTGACTTATAAAATGATGCTAATGTATTAAAAAGCATCAGGAGTATACACTTAATATGCTCCTCTCCCTCTAAAGCAAAATGTGAGCCTCCCCAAAGGAAAGGAGGTTGTGCAAAAGAACCCTTCCAGCAGTGGGGCAAGGCTGTCATTCTTGATTCTAAATGTAGTGGGGAAAGGAGCTTTATTGACTGGGCTGGAGACTGGAGTCTCTTCAGACTGGCTCGGGTATCCCTTTGAAACTTATCTACCCAATGTCCTCTTTCCCCACCTCTAATTTTCCCCCTCTCTCCCACCCCCCACTCCCTCCTTTCCTTATTTATTCTTGGTTCTGGACTTCCAACACTCTGGACATCTGAAGAAGTGGTCTGTGCCCACAAAAGCTCATGATACCATCTACATGTTTTCTTAGTCTTTAAAGTGCTACTAGACTATTTGTTGTTTTTTAAGTTTTTCCTGTTACAGACTAACTCGGCTACCCCTCTGAAACTTCAGGTCCACAGTCCAGGTTCCTCTTCACCAGCTCTTCTTGCCAGTGTGCCTCAGACCTGACATGGAGAGAAAATAAAATAGCTGGCGCTCTTGTCCATTCAGGCTTTGGCCTCTCTGTTGAGACAGCTAAGAAAAGGGCAGTTATGAATTGTTGTCAGGATTCAGCTGTGCTGCAATACCACAATTGCTTCCTGTTGCTTTCCATGAATTTTAAGCCAAAAAGGACGATTGTAAGCTTCTGTATAACAGACTATAAGAACCAGGGATGTAAATGGTTAATCAGTAAGCCTCACCCTTAGCTGGCAATGCTTACCAGTTCCTCATAGGGGTTGGAGCAGCTCCCTGCCGTCCCAGGCACAAGCCTGCTCCAGACCCACGGAGCCCACTGCAAGCAGGGGCTGGGACAGCAGGTGGGGCAACCTCGGTCCATTGCAAGCCTGCCCCCCTCC